ATGAGAAGATGGTGAGGATAATGACAATGACGGTGGTGGTGATGATGGCAGTGATAATGGTGACGAGGCTGCTGGTGATGGTGGTGATGATGATTTTAATAATGATGGTGACGGTGACAGTCTTAGCCAGTTTGGACTGCTACAACAAAATACCACAGACTCAGTGGCTTAAACATCAGACATTTATTCTTCATGGTTCTGGAGGCTGGGAAGTCCAAGATCCGAGTGCCAACATAGTAAGGATGTTGGTAAGGGCCCTCTTCCTGGCCTGCAGATGGCTGCCTTTTGTGTGTCCTCACTTGGTGTTGTAGGGAGAGACAATTTCAATCTGTTCTCATCTTCTTCTAAGGATACTGATCCCATTACAGGGGTCTCACCCTCGTAACCTCATCCAACCCTAATTAATCCCCCCCCTAACATCAGCACATTGCAGATTTGGGCTTCAGTGGATGGATTTGGGGGAGGACACAAACATTCAGCCCATAGCCGTGATGATGATGGTGATCATGACGATGATGACGACGAAGATGGGAACAGGGTGGTTTTAATGACTTATTCCAGAAAAAATGTTTAAAACCCTTTGTATAATTTCCGGCATAAAAGCCCTCCATGAATGCCAGCTATAGTGACTGTTGTCACTATCATTATAAAGCTCTGGGTTTAAATCTGACTTTCCAAGCAATTTTAAGCAGATTTGAAAGCATCCCTAAATCTGCACCCTGTGTTAAAACACTTCAGGTTACAGACCACAGAGGCCCACGTCAAGCTGGCGCACACCCATCGGGGCAGGAACCGTTTCTCCATGCTGCAGTTAACGTGGACCAAAGGCTCAGACAGCGTCTCCATGCTTCTTCTCTCTCCTTCCCTCTGCTGCCCGTCTTCGCACCCATTTCATTTCAGGTAAGGTCTTGCACGAGAGTGTCCCAATTCTCGTGTTCAGATCCTCACAGTTTGGCAAACCCAGGACAACAGGGCATCTCTTTTGCTGTGTTCCCAAAGACTGTCATCGAGGGCTCTCACTGGACTTGTCTGGTCACAGGACACCTCCGAATCAACTGCTGTGGGCAGAAAGGACAGAGAGCTCTTTCTGCTGAGTCTGGGTCTCGTACCCACCAGGACCAGGTGATTTCTTCAAGGAATGAAGGAAAATTGGACACAGACTGGGCAAAATCAGCAGACGAGCCCTTCATGCCCGAGAATTTGGGAGGTCCAGGTATGGACAAGCCCACTCAGTTGGGAAAAACATCTACTCAGCCGCATTTATTGAGGGCTTGCAATAAGAGCAAGCAAGCTGACTATGCTCCCAGGCTGAGCACTGCCTGCAGGAGACCAGTCAGAGCTGGCTTATCCAGCCCCCAGGAGAGAGGCTGGGGTCCTCTGCAGCCTTGGGTGAGAGAAGACACCCCCCCCCACCTGGCTCTCCCATCACAAGAAAGGGCTCCCAGTGACAGGAGGACCGCCTGTGGGGCAGCCCACTGGGAGGGAGCCCACCCACGGGCTTCCTGCAGGGGAGGGAAACGCTGGGTGGCCTGCAGGCAAGGTATGCTGGGTGGGTCTGCTTACTCAGAAGGGCCCAGAGCCAGCAGATCATCGGGTCAAGAGTCTGGCCCCCAAGAGCCACTGGGTTGAGCTCATTCTCCTCAACTGATATCATGAGGCATCTTCTGGAGGAGAAGAGAGGATTCCCCAGATGATACGTATGGATGGTCCGGATGCAGGGATCAGGCAGAGGGGAGGAGGTGTAGGGTTTGCAGTGGTGTGTGAGAGAGAGTGTGCGAGTGTGTGTGTGAGAGTGAGTTGTGAGAGTGTGTGTGTGCTGGTATGTGTGAGTGTGTAAGAGAGTGAGTGTGGGGGGTACGTGTGTGGGTGTGGGTGCGTGAGTGTGCAGGAGAGCGCTGCGGGTGGCTAACGTGGGAGTGTGAGCGTGCATGAGTGTGTGAGAGTGAGTGTGAGGGTTGGTGTGTAAGCTTGTGTTGGTGTGTGGTGTGTGAGGCATGAGCAGGAGGAGAAAGACGGCTGACACTTCACTTCCTCTCAGCAGCTCACCCTCTGAAACCACCTGGGAGCACCGCGCACCTGCAGTGAACGAGTCCTACCTGCACGGCGCCTCCACGTCGGCCGCGGCCCCCCCCCCCCCCCCGCGGGGGTCAGGGAGGCAGGAGGGACCAGCGCCTGCTGTTTTCAGAGGACAGGACTGGAGCTTGGAAAAGATGACCGACGTGGCCATTGGTGCACATATGCCGCTCAAACCTAAACGTGTCTGATTCCAAAACCGCAGCCTTCCCACAAGAGCCCATGGCCGCCTCGCTGCTGACAAATGGCCATTCTGTGTCTTCCTGTCTAAGAATAGGAAGAAATCTTATTTCCTGAATCTG